GATGGAAATCAACAAATGTCAAGGAGTCTAAGGCAGCTTTGTATGCTCTCTATAATATCGGAATATTGCAAATGAGACGGCGGGCCAGGTGCAGGCATCGGGGCTCAGAGACCAAACACTTTTCGTGAACCGAAAATTTTTTGCCCCGCTTCCGGCCCTCATTTAGCCAGGAGGAGGCAGGAGAAGAGGGAGGGTAAGTTGCTTCCTCCCTGCCTCTCCCCACCCCTGCCTGCCTGGGGCCAGGGAGGGCCTTCGCGGGGCTTCCTTGCACTCCCGCCGGCCTTGCAGGTCCACCGCCGGGCCCCTCATGGGGCTCAGCAGTGGAGCTGCAAGGCCGGCGCCAGCGGCCGGGACCGTTGGGGGCGGGATGTGTGGCCTTATGACACACTTCCGGTGATATCAGGGGGTGTGGCCTTATGTCACACTTCCGGTGATGCCAGGGGGTGTGGCATATGCTAATGCTATGCTAATGAGTTTCCCTAGCTCTTTTTCCACGAAACGACCCCTGACAATAGCCGTCCTCCACAGAGTGGAAAGTTCACATGCAAGACCTACGTTCAGCTGCAGGGGTTCCTCTTCTGCCAAACTGTCGTAGGAACTGTCTGCAAAGAAAGAGAAAAGGAAGCGCAGGCATTAGGGGGGAACGGTCTTACCCTGAACATAGCTTCGGGTGGTGTGTGTGTCTGTAGCTGTGCTGGTCGGCAGCACCTTAGGGACCAACGAGGTTTCCAGGGAATGAAACTGTGCGGCAGCCAAAGCTTCCTTCATCAGATACAAGGGGAGCCCCGAGCCCTTCAATCCCATTTGGAAGGCGGGAGGGGTATTGCAGAAGGGAGTCAGGATGCAAAACGGGATCCTTATCTCACTACAGATGCTAACTGTCAGCTCCTAAAACATCTTTTCCGTGGGAGGGAAGGCGGTATGGCATGGCCTGATCTTGTCAGAGCTCAGTGCTTGGAAACGAAGAAGAGGAGGAGGAGGATGCCCTGCCCTTCACTTGGAGTCTTAGAACAGCTTACATTCTCCTTCCCATCCTCTCCCCACAACAGACACCCTGAGGAACAGGTGGGGCTGAAAGAGCTCTGAGAGAACTGCTCTCGAGAGAACAGCTCTAAGAGAGCTGTGACTGGCCCAAGGTCACCCAGCTGGCTGCATGTGGAGAAGTGGAGAATCAAACCCGGTTCTCCCAGATTAGAGCCCGCCGCTCTTTAACCACCACGCCAAACTGGAGACACTAGGAAAGATCAGCAGAGGCATATTGGTGTTGGAAGTCAAGCATTATGCGCTGTCTCTTGCCTCAGGCCACAGAGGAAGACTGCAATAGAGTCAGAGAGATAGACAGGCTAGGACAGTAAAACATCCTGTCCTTCTCTCTCTGATACTATCCCTTTGCAGTGTCGATTGCTAGGAGGAAGTTTCCTTCCTTCCGGCTTCTGTCCTCTCTCCACACACAATGCCATGCTTCTCCATCTTGGCAACATGAGAGCAGGATGTCTTTTCCACATCTGCATCCATCTAGCTAGTTAGACTAGATTACAACTATCTCTCCTCTATTTCTGTCTACAAATGGAATTGCTACAATAAACTCCTGTTCTTTACTCTGAAAAGATAGAGGCTCTTGTGTAACTTTGTTTTCTTGCTGGCACACACACTGATTGGATGAGCTCTGCTGCATTAAAGCCTTGAGCGCTCTGCTACCCCACCAATATTTCCCAATAATTGGTTCGTGGTTTCCAAATTAACAGCATCAGGGATGGGCACGAACTGCATTTTTGTGGTTCGGTTCCTGATTCGTGGTTCATGGCTGAACCACGAATCGTGAACCGAACCACAAAAATGCAGTTTGTGCCCATCCCTGATGCTGTTAATTTGGAAGAGTTGAGGCTATGGTGTCATAGTCCCGCTGTACACCGCATTGGTCTGGCTGCCCCTGGAGTACTGTGTGCAGTTCTGGAGGCCCCACTTCGAAAAGAATGTGGACAGAATGGAGCGGGTGCAGAATATAGGAATATTGGAAAAAGACATTTCTAGTCTTTGGAGACCTTTTTTTTTTTTTGGCGTAATACATCACGGCCGTTTGCTTCTTCTCAACCTCCAGTTGGGGCCTGGAGGTTACCAGAACTACTGCTGATCTCTAGACCAGAGAGATCAATTCCCCCGGAGAAAGTGGCTGCTTTGGAGGGTGGACTCTGTGGGCATTGTTTACCCACAGAGGTCCCTCCCGTTCCCAAAGCCCACCCTCCCAAGATTCCAACCCCAAATCTCCCAGGATTTCCTAACCTGGAGCTGGCATCCCTACTTACCACCGTGTGGTCTATTCTTATCATTTTAGAAATAAAATCGGCATCGTACCTCTGCAGGCCAGACAGCATGAATCTGGAACAGTCTGAGGAGAGGCACAGAACAGATCTGGGCACGTCACCAAACCGCAGTAGATCTGGCCTTCCTGAGAAGAAGAAGAAGAGAAGAGATTGGACTTATACCCCACCCTTCACTACCCGAAGGTGTCTCAGAGCGGCTTACAAACTCCTTTCCCTTCCCCTCCCCACAACGGACACCCTGTGAGGTAAAAGAAGAAGGAGAAGAGACTGGACTTATACCCAGCCCTTCACTACCCGAAGGTGACTCAGAGTGGCTTCCAATCCTTTTTCCCTTCCCCTCCCCACCACAGACACCCTGTGAGGTAAAAGAAGAAGGAGAAGAGATTGGATTTATACCCCGCCCTTCACTACCCAAAGGAGTCTCAGAGCGGCTCACAAACTCCTTTCCCTCCCCCTCCCCACAACAGACACCCTGTGAGGTAAAAGAAGAAGAAGAAGAGATTGGATTTCTACCCTGCCCTCCACTACCCAAAGGAGTCTCAGAGCAGCTTACAAACTCCTTCCCCTCCCCACAACAGACACCCTGTGAGGTAAAAGAAGAAGAAGAAGAAGAAGAGATTGGATTTATACCCTGCCCTTCACTACCCAAAGGAGTCTCAGAGCGGTTTACGAACTCCTTTCCCTTCCCCTCCCCACAACAGACACCCTGTGAGGCAGGTGGGGCTGAGAGAGCTCTTTCCAGAGCTGTCCTTGAGAGAACAGCTCTTGTCAGAACTACGGCTTGCCCAAGGTCATCCAGCCAAGTGTGAGTGGAGGAGTGGGGGAATCAAACCTGGTTCTCCCAGATTAGAGTCCGTGCTCCAAACCATGACACCAGACTGGCTCTCTGTATGTAGAAGAGGAAGAGAAGAGATTTGATTCATACCCCGCCCTTCACTACCTGAAGGAGTCTCAGAGCAGCTTACAAATTCCTTTCCCTTCCCCTCCCCACAACAGACACCCTATGAGGTCGGTGGGGCTGAGAAAGCTCTGACAGAAACGGCTCTTCTTCAAGAGCAGCTCCTATCAGAACTACGGCTTGCCCGAGGTCATCCAGCCAGGTGCAAGTGGAGGAGTGGGGAATCAAACCCGGTTCTCCCAGATTAGACTCTGCGTACTTAACCACTACACCAAACCACTACACCAAACAGGAGGATGAGGAGGAGGAGGACACGTGTTGGTTTTATACCCCACCCTTCACTACCCGAAGGTGTCTCGAAGTGGCTTACAATCTCCTTTCCCTTTCTCTCCCCGCAACAGTTGCCCTGTGTGGTAGGTGGGGCTGAGAGAGCTCTGAGAGAACTGCTCGTGAGAGAACAGCTCAGAGAGAACTTGTGACTGACCCAAGGTCACCCAGCTGGCTTCATGTGGAGGAGTGGGGAATCAAACCTGATTCTCCAGATTGGAGTCTGCCACTTTTAACCACTACAGCAAACTGGCTCTCACCAGGGCTGCCGTCACACACACACACACACACACACACACACACACACACACACTAATCCACTTTCAATCGGATTTTATGGCAGTGTCCAGACTGCATGCTGCTTTCATTTTGTTTGATCTCTTAGTTTTATATAGTTAAAATCCAGTTGGGAAATGCATTGAAAGTGGATTATTTAGTGTGTGTGACTGCAGCCCAGAACAACCTGGATAGCATTCGGAGCATAAGAAACAAGTTGACAGATTCCCTTTCTCAAGATCTTCCACAAGGCCTCGGTGGAGGTGACTAAAAGGGCCACGCACTACACTAAAATCTCTCTGGCTCAATGGCAAAGTGTTTGTTTGGCATGCAGAAGGTCCCAGGTTCAATCCCCGGCACCTCAGCTCAAAAAGAACCAGGAAATCTGCGATGTGAAAGACCTCTGCCTGTGACCCTAGAGAGCTGTTGTCCTTCTTAAGTAGACAAGACTGACCTTGATGGACCAGTATAAGGCAGTGTGGCGTCCTTGCTTATAAGGGAGACGGTTTTACCTTTAAAACACTCTCTGTGTACATAAACTTGGTAGATGTCTGCTGCCACCAGGAATTAAAAATTCCAAATCTCTCTCTTTTGGTAGAATGACCTAGGGTCTGGGCACTTCAGAGGACTATGTGGCCCTGAGGAAGGACTATTCTGATTTCTGGGATAAGTTTATACCAAAAAATGATTTATTTAATAAAGAACAAAATGGGTTTCTGGTTATTTTGAACTGTTGCTGATGAAAGGGACTTGTAAATATAACTGGCAAAGCTTGGTGTCACAAACAGTCTCTCAGGCTCCCAAAACTCCCCCCTGACAGGCGCACACACTCAGTGTAATCTCTCTCTCTCTCTCTCTCTCTCTCTCTCTCTCTCTCTCTCTCTCTCTCTCTCTCTCTCATCTATATAGCCACACAGGCTAAACTCTTTGTCTTATTCACACAGAATAGACTCAAAACTCATACTCACACAGACTGAACTGTTTGTCTTTTTCACACAGAATAGACTCAAAATCTCCCATAGTCACATAGACTATGCTCTCTCTCCAAACTTCACATAGACACACCTCCTCCCACTCTCTCAGTCATCAGCCAGTCACATCACACTTGTCTATCAGTCTTCTTACAGTACTGTAGTCATAACTAAACATTTAAAGTAACACACACACCAAAACCAGAATCATTACAGGCTGCTTGAGAGCGGGCCACCCCCGCTCCCGATTCTGTTCTGAGCCACCTACCGAGCAGCTGCATTGCGTGCACTGGTTCGGCAGCTTGGAAGGGAAGAGTTCGCTGGCCGTGAACAGGTCGCCGTTTTGGTACGTTGCCCCATTGTATTCGCAGGAGGAATCGACTGGCTCCTCGAGTCCAGGTGGGCTGTAAAGTTCTGCAGAGGAAAAGGAGGGGAAAACAGAAAGGAATGCGGGGAGCTGGTTAGGAAGCTTTCTACTCCCCCCCTCCCCATTGCACCAGAAGACCCATGGAACAAGCAGGGTTGCCAGTTCTGGGTTGGGAGATTCCGGGAGATGTTGGGGTGGAGCATGAGGAGGGCGGGGCTTGAGGAAGGAAGGGACTTCAATGGGGTCCACCTTCCAAAGCAGCCATTTTCTCAGAGGGGACTAATCTCTGTCGCCTGGAGATCAGTTGTAATCAACGTTCTCTCTAAGCTGAGTTAGTGTGAGCCAGCTCACAGTTTCTGAGCCTCCGGCTCACCCATTCTTGTCTTAGCTCGGAAGGGTGTAGCTCCAGAGCAAACTGATTTACGCGGCAGCCAAATCGCTCGCTCACAACTTTAATGGCGGTAGCTCACAAAGGAGAATCTTTGCTCACAAGGCTCCACACCTTAGAGGGAGCATGGGTTGTAATCCCAAGAGATCTCCGGCCGCCACCTGGAGCTTGTCATGGAAAGAAGCAGAAACGAGGATAAGAAAACAACCGTGAAACAATAACTAAGCCATGTAAACAGCTATATTGACCACAACTTAGAACACAGGAAAACCATCCATAGGTTGAATAGAAAGACTGTCATTGTTGTTCAGTCGCACAGTCGAGTCCGACTCTCTGCGACTCCAGGGACCACATCACGCCAGGCCCTCCTGTCTTCCGTCATGCCCGGGAGTCTGCTCAACTTCATGTTCATTGCATCGATGACACTGTCTGACCATCTCATCCTTTGCCGTCCCCTTCTTCTTCTTTCGCCTTCCGTCTTTCCCAGCCTCAGGGTCCTCTCCAGTGAGCGCTCCCTTCTCATTCGGTGACCAAAGTACTGGAGCTTCAGCTTCTGGATCCAGCCTTCCTGGGAACAGTCAGGGTTGATTTCTTTGAGGATTGACTGATTGGATCTCCTGGCAGTCCAAGGGACTCTCAAGAGTCTTCTCCAGCACCATAATTCAAGACACTTAAAAAGGTAAAGGTCTCCTTTGCTCGAAAGCCAGTCGATTCCGACTCTAGGGTTGCGGTGCTCATCTCCGTTTCAAAGCCGAAGAGCCAGCGCTGTCCGAAGACGTTTCCGTGGTCATGTGGCCAGCATGACTAAACACCGAGGCACACGGAATGCTTAGTAAGATGCAATACTCAGTTCGATCACAGTCCAATCAAGGTACTATCAAAAATAAAGTTCACCGATATTTAAAGTCCTCTGTGCCGCCCATTAGTCCATTTAGAACATGCAAGCTCCCAACAGAGACTTTCCCGTATATTCCAACTTCAAACGTAGAGATACGATAAATAGCAAATATTTTGCTTTTCAAGAGAACGAGGTGTGATTTCTGGGGCACTCCCGTTCCGGCTAACAGATCCTGCCAGCCTCTGAATTCGTCTCTATCACTGCTTTATCATACACGGAACAGGATGTCTTCCTCGGCGTCCGTTTCTTGACACAACTCACAAAACTTCATTTACAGCTGCTTATAGGCACAAGAGCACAAGGGCAAACTTTGTGAGATTGGAGAAGCTGCCTTTGTGCCCGTAAGCAGCTGTAAATGTACAGTTTGTGAGATGTGGCCAAGAAACGGATGCAGAGGAAGACATTCTGTTCCGTCGTTGATAAAGCAGGGATGGACGTCGTCAGCCGGAACGGGAGCGCCCCTGAAATCGCACCGCGTCCTCCTGCAAAGTAAACAAGTTGCTGTTTGTCATGTCCATACGTTTGAAGCTGGAATATTCGGGAACGTCTCTATTGGAGGCTTACATGTTCTGAATGGACTAGTTGGCGGCACAGAACACTTTAAATATCATGTGAACTTTATTTTCGATTGTACATTTATTGGACTATGATTGAACAGAGTGTCGCACCTTACTAGGAATCTTTCTAGTGAACCTATGGATGATTTTTCTGTGGCATACATTATTGTTAATATAGTTAAATATAGAGAGCCAATTTGGTGTAGTGGTTAGTTTTTGTTGTTCAGTAGGGGCACAGACTAATCTCGGAGAACCGGGTTTGTTGTAGGGCTATCTTTCGGCTATGCTCCTGCAGAGTGCAGGGGGTTGGACTAGATGACCTGCAAGGTCCCCTCCAACTCTAACATTCTATGATTCTATGATCTATGATTCCCCACTTCTCCTCCACATGCAGCTGCTGGTGCAACCTTGGGCCAGTCACAAGTTCTCTCAGAGCTGGTCTCTGAGAAGCAGTCCTTGAAAGAGCTCTCTCAGCCCCGTCTAACTCGCAGGGTGTCTGTTGTGGGGAGGGGAAGGGAAAGGAGTTTGTAAGCCACTCTGAGACTCCTTCGGGTAGTGAAGGGCGGGGTATAAATCCAATCTCCTCCTCCTCCTCCTCTTCTTCTTCTCGCTTTGTTATTGTTTCATGGTTGTTTCTTATCCTTGTTTCTACCACATGGAGGTTGGCAACCCAAGGCACAAAGGTACAGGGTACCTTGCAAGCCTGAAATGGGAGGTTCTAACTGAGGGCAAGACTGGACGGAACGGGAGCAGTGAAGCTTGGCTATGTCCTTCTTTGCTCCTCTTTGGTCATAGGGTGGGGGCTTTATTTTAGCGTAAAAGGGGGGGGACACGTGATGGTCAACGGGAGCAGAGACCCCCCCACACACTCTCTTTGTGTTCTGTTCCTTCCGTCAGAACTGGGCTGGGAGAGAGAGATCCAAGGAGTAAGGTCAGGTAGGGATATGGTTGACTTGACAGCTCTGGTTTGGGAAATCCCCCGGAGATTTTGCGGGTGGAGCCAGGAGAGGGCAGGACTTGGGGAGGGGAGGGATTTTGGAGGAGTGTAAAGCCACGGAGCCCACCCTCCAAAAGCCGTCTTTCTCCAGGGGAACGGATCTCTGAAGTCTACAGTTGCAATGAGTCTTTTGGGCAAAAGTTCTATTTTGTGAGCTATCAGCATTAAAGCTGTGAGCGAGCGATTTGGCTACTGCATGAATCAGTTTGCTCTGGAGCCCTCCTTCCTGAGCGGAGACAAAAACGCGTGAGCCGGAGGCTAAGAAACAGTGAGCTGGCTCACACTGACTCAGCTTAGAGGGAACGCTGGTTGTAATTCCAGGAGATCTCCAGGTCCCACCTGGAGAGGACGACCCAAGGTAGTGGAGGGTACAGGAAACACCCTCCCCCCGCTTACCTGCTTTAAAATCTGCTTACCTGGGCACCTGCCGCAGCACTGCTGAGGGTCCACGATGGGGTTTGGGCACGGGAGAGCGGGGCACTGGATTCGATAGCAGCTGACGTTGGAATCCTAGGGGGTGAAATGGACAACCTGGAGTCAGACTGAGTCCTGTCGGTAATAAATGAAAAGCTAAGGACAGGCAGACTTTATCCGTTTTTTTTTACTGGAGGCAGGGGTCATTTCCTGCAGGAGTGCACAGGAGCGGAGCCCAGGGGGTGGGCACATGCAACAAGCCCCGCCCCCTGCTCCCAGCAGCCCTCAGTCAGAGCAAGGAGCAGACAGGTAAGTTGCAGAGCCCCCCCACCAGCCCCCCAAACCAAAACAGTCCAGTGGCACCTTTAAGACCAGGTTTTATTCAGGTACAAGCTCTCCCTCCTCTGCGAGGACAGATCTGCACGTTCCCTCCCCCCAATAGCTAGCAATCCAAAACAGTCCAGTGGAGCCTGAGCGGTGGGTGTTGCCTTCTGACACACTTCCGGTGATGTCAGGGGGTGTGGCCTATGCAAATAAGTTATGCTAATGAGTTATGCAAATGAGCTCCTGCACCTCTTTTTCTACGAAATGACCCCTGGACAGGATGCTGGACTAGATGGGTCTGATCTTGCATACAGGTCTGATCTGTATGCAAGATCAGACAGGCGGGATATAAATGCAGAAATAAATAAATAAAATCTTCTTAACCTCATCTGGTGCTGACAGCCCCTTATTATCGCAGAAATGAGGAGTAATCCACAAACCCCATATACTGTAAAAAGCTCCGCATTCCAGTGAACAATGCTCCGAAATTTCTACCTGTCCGGAAGTCACAAAATTCTATCACAGTGTGCAGGCTTTTGCATTCAACCTCACATGACCTGAGAAGGGACAGAACTAGAATTCAACATGCTATTGCACCAGGCGATCCGAAGTGCAGAGACCGGATTAGTGGTAATCGGCTCACTGGGGACTATGAGTGGTACCTCAAAACAGGTGCACTTGATGCAGTACATCACCCCCTGGGGTTCCAGGTAAGGATGCCAGCTTTCTCCTGGGTGGTACCTCTGTCCGTTGAACAAACAGAAGGAATCCGGATCTGGAAATCAAACAGAGGAGTGTTATTCATTCAGTTTGTTTGTTCGAAGAATGAATATGCTGCCTCACCAGAGACCTGTTAACATAAGAACATAAGATAAGCCAACGTTGGATCAGGCCAATGGCCCATCTAGTCCAACACTCTGTGTCACACAGTGGCCAAAAATACCAGGTGCCATCAGGAGGTCCACTAGCGGGGCCAGGACACTAGAAGCCCTCCCACTGTTGCCCCCCCCAAGCACCAAGAATACAGAACATCCCTTGCCCCCAGACCGAGAGTTCCTATCTATACCTTGTGTCTAATAGCCACCGATGAACCTCTGCTCCGTATGTTTATCCAGTTCCCTCTTGAAGCTGTCCATGCTTCAAGCCTTCCTTCCTTCCTTCCAACATAACAGAAGCCAATGTTGGATCAGGCCAATGGCCCATCTAGTCCAACACTCTGTCACACAGTGGCCAAAAATACCAGGTGCCATCAGGAGGTCCACCTGTGGGGCCAGGACACTAGAAGCCCTCCCACTCTTGCCCCCTCCCCAGCACCAAGAATACAGAGCATCACCTGCCCCAGACTGAGAGTTCCTATCTATACCTTGTGGCTAATAGCCCCTGATGGACCTCTGCTCCGTATGTTTATCCAGTTCCCTCTTGAAGCTGTCCATGCTTCAAGTCTTCCTTCCTTCCTTCCAACATAAGAGAAGCCAATGTTGGATCAGGCCAATGGCCCATCCAGGCCAACACTCTGTTTCACACAGTGGCCAAAAATACCAGGTGCCATCAGGACGTCCACCAGTGGGGCCAGGACACTAGAAGCCCTCCCACTGCCCCCCCCCAAGCACCAAGAATACAGAACATCCCTTGCTCCAGACTTAGAGTTCCTATCTATACCTTGTGGCTAATAGCCCCTGATGGACCTTTGCTCTTTATGTTTATCTAATTCCCTCTTGAAGCCATCCATGCTTGTAGCCACCACCACCTCCTGTGGCAGTGAATTCCATGTGTTCATCACTCTCTGGGCGAAGAAGGACTTCCTTTTATCTGTTCTAACCCGACCGCTCAGCAATTTCATGGAGTGCCCACGAGTTCTTGTATTGTGAGAAAGGGAGAAAAGGACTTATTTCCTGACCTGCTCTATCCCATGCACAATCTTATCAACCTCGATCATGTATTCAAAATGAGGTCACACCATTGATTTATACAGGGGCATTATGATACTGTCTGATTTGTTTTCAATTCCCTTCCTAATAATCCCCAGCATAGCATTGGCCTTCTTTATTGCAGTCACACACTGTCTCGACATTTTCATTGAGTTATCTACAACGACTCCAAAATCTCTCTCTTGGTCAGTCTCTGTCAGTTTGGACCCCATCAACGTGTATTTATAGTGAGGATTTTTGGCTCCAGTGTGCATCACTGGTTGGCCAGTGTGCTTTTAAAAACCCAGAGTAGATACCACATTGGCTCACGCCGGCCCCAGGTCACCCAGCAAGCTTCCATGGCAAAGTGGGGATTCTCCCAGTTTCTAGTCCAACACTCTAATCACTACGTCACACTGGCTCTCCAGTTCCTGGGTGAGCAAACACCAAGCCGATCTTTCCACAAGCAGGTTTCCATTGGCGATTTAAAAGCAGGAGGCACAGAGATCAATCCTAAAACGAATTTCCACCCAACTTAGTATACAGGAGCAAGCAAGTGAGCCTCTGGTATCAGTCATGAGGGCTAGAAACATGCTTTAAAAAAAATGCAAGCGGAGAGACTCAGAAATCTGCATTGTAATTTAGAATCTGGGTTCTCAATTTCTCCTGCTTTGTGGATTCAGCGCAAATAGGGACCTGTCGCCCCCTCCTTGATAATTCACTGGTGGGCAAGGGTCATTTCCTGTGGGAGCGCACAGGAGCACCTCCGGCAGTAAAGAGCCCAGGGGGCGGGCACATGCAACACGCCGGCCACAAGGAGCAAGAAGCAGCCAGGTAAGTTGCAGTGGGTGTTGCCTTCTGACACACTTCCGGCGATGTCAGGGGGTGTGGCATATGCAAATAAGTTATGCTAATGAGTTATGCTAATAAGCTCCTGCCCCTCTTTTTCTATGAAATGACCCCTGCTGGTGGGTGACTGGGCGGCTTTCAATAGGCCTTGAGACGCCTGGGATTCTTGTGAAGGACGCCAGGCTAGATTCATCTTTCACTGCGGTGGCTCAAGTGGTTAAGGCGCTGAACTGCAGGCTGTGGAAGGTCGGAAGTTCAGCAGTTCGAGACCCGAGTGTGCCGCATGACGGGGTGAGCTCCCGTCTCTAGTTCCAGCTCCTGCCAACTGAGCAGTTCGAAAGCAAGACATTGCAAGTAGATAAATAGGTGCCACTTCGGTGGGAAGGTAACAGCGTTCCGTGCGCCTTGGTGTTTAGTCATGCCGGCCACATGACCACGGAAACATCTTCAGACAGCGCTGGCGCGGAAGACCGGAAGGCCTGGTGTAATCTGGTCCATGGGGTCGTGGAGAGTCGGACTCGACTGTGCAACTGAACAACAACAACCCCCAACAAGGCAAGTCTTGTATTCTTGAGTTTAAGATCGCAGATTTGGGAGCATTTAATACACCCTGGTGGAGGAAAGTGCGGCCGAGTTGCGGCCGACCTATGGAAAACGATTGGGTTTCCAAGGAAACAGATGATCAGAGGTGGTTTGCCATAGCTTGCCTCTGCGTAGCAACCCTGGACTCCCTTGGCAGTGTGACAGTGTCCCATCCAAGAACTAATCAGATATCCTGCTTAGCTTCCAAGATCTGATGTGATTGAACTAGCCTGGCCCATCCAGGTCAGAACCAATGACATGCAGAGGTGGATTTGCCATTGCCTGCCTCTGCGTAGCAACCCTGGACTCCGTTGGCAGTGTGACAGTGTCCCATCCAAGAACTAATCAGATATCCTGCTTAGCTTCCAAGATCTGATGTGACTGAACTAGCCTGGGCCATCCAGGTCAAGGCAAAAGACACAACAGAGGTGATCTGCCTTTGCCTTCCTCTTGCGCAGCAACCCTGGACTTCTTTGGTGGCCAGGTCAAGGCAAAAGACACAACAGAGGTGATCTGCCTTTGCCTTCCTATTCGCAGCAACCCTGGACTTCTTTGGTGGTCTCCGATCCAGGTACTAATCAGGGCCAACCCTGCTTGGCTTAGAGAGCCAGTTTGGCGTAGGGGTTAAGAGCGCGGCCTCTAATCTGGGAGAACCGGGGTTGATTCCCCACTCCTCCACATGCAGCTGCTGGTGTGACCTTCAGTCAATCACAAGTTCTTTCAGAGCTGTTCTCTCAGGGGCAGTTCTTGGGAGAGCTCTCTCAGCCCCACCTACCTCACAGGGTGTCTGTTGTGGGGACAGGAAAGGGAAAGGAAATTGTAAGCCCCTCAGAGACCCCTTCGGGTAGTGAAGGGCAGGGTATAAGAAGAAGGAGAAGAGATTGGATTTATACCCCGCCCTTCAGTA